TCTCAGTATTATGTAATCATCGTTATGTGATCTGATATAATTATTCTGTGTGTTGTAAATCATGAGCTCTAAGATGTTAATAAGGCAGGATTAAGGCAGTTATGTTAATGAGGCAGGATGCAATATACAGGACCATGTTGTATTTTGAGTCAATCTCTTTTGAAATATAAAAGAGATTAAACAAGTGAGCTGATATCAGAGGGACCTACAATCACCAAGTTCCTGGACTGGAGTGCATACTTTGGACTTGGGTTCCCTGTGCTGAGAAGCTCTTAGATCCAAGGGAAGATTGATGCCGAGACACAGAGATCTCCAAGGAATACAGGGCCCACAAATGTTGAAAGGAGACAAGGACCTTCCCCCAGAGCTAACACACAGATCCCTTGATGTGGTGCCCTGAATTCAGACTTCTAGCCTCCTAAACTGTGAGAGAATACTTTTCTGTTGGTCAGAGCCATCTGTTTGAGGTATTGCTTTTATAGCAGCACTAAATAACTAAAGAGGCTTCTAATTGAAAGGTTGGAGATTTGAGTCCACCAAGAAGTGCCTTGGAAGAAAGGCCTGGCAATCTACTTCTGAAAAATCCGTCTTTAAATACCGTATGGAGCACAGTTCTACTCTGACACACATGAGGTCACCAAGAGTGAGAATAAACTCAATAATAATTGGTAACCACTGATATAAATAAATTCCCAGACCTTGAACTGGCAACTTTGATTAGCCTGGTTTCAATTGCTTCAAGAACCTGTAACAAAAATAATTACCAAAATTATGAATGAAATGAAGTCAGTAAATTGAATGGGGACTATTTCTTCAAAAACACAAAATGTTCATTAATTTCAATAAGACTCTTCAAGTGCAGAAATTTTTAAGATACATTATATGCAAACTGTAGACTTACGTACCATCTTGGAATTCACAGCACCACAAAACTAGTGAATGGCAAGTTTTCCTTTTCAAATATATATATAATATATACATATATATAAATATATATATATAAATCCAAAGGTATATTGATATGATATATTACTCTTCCCATTCATTTGACTGATTTCATTTCTATCATGATTTTGGTGATTATTTTTAAGTTCAGTATGTTGTAGGATAGATATTAGGATTCTGGGATTCCTACTCACTATCAAAGCATCATTAGCCTACTTTTAAAGCTTTTCACCTATATACTGTTTTTCTTATCTTTAGAGATACTCATTTCCTTCCATTCTTACATCTTTTTCCTTTGTCTATACTGTTGTGATTCCCTTCCTGGATTGCCAATCTCTGCCCATTCCTGTGCCCCCAAGTTACTAGGTATTTACACCTTCCCCTTGCTGTAGCTCAAAATGCCACCACCCTTACATGAGCCATAAGAAGCTCTGGTGGTATAGTGGTTATGGCACCTGGCTGCTAACCCAAAGGTCTGTGGTTTGAACCCACCAGCCACTCCATGGAAGAAAGATGGGGCTGTCTGCTTCCATAAAGATTTACTGCCTTAGAAACCCAATGGGGGCACTATGAGTTTAAATCAACTGGATAACAGTGAGTTTGGTTTCCTTTGGTTTTTTTCCCTTGATTTCACATGAGCCATGAGGACACCAGAGATGCTGTAGGGATCCCTGGATCTCACCTGAGCCCTCTGGATGATGCTCTGCCTTCTGTTACCAGACATCCAGCCAGACATCATCTTGGGTGGGAAGGCAAGAGGGCCTCAGTCACAACAGGAGGGGTAGGGAACTCTTCACCTTGAGAGTTGACTAACTTTTCTGCTCTAAGGCAACAAGCCCCTGATAGCCACATGCTATCATTTGTCTGTCAGTTTGTCATACTGTGGTGGCTTGCATGTTGCTGTGAGGCTGGAGGCTATGCCACCAATATTTCAAATACCAGCAGGCTTACTCATGCTGGACAGGTTTCAGCAGAGCTTCCAGACTAAGTATCTGGTTACCTAGTGCCACTCTGACAAGAAATATACCACAAATGGGATGGCATTAATAAACAAGAATTTATTCTTACAATTTGGAGGCTTTAAGTCCAAGTTCAAAGTGCCAAGTTCTAGGGGCTGGGTGCAAACCCCTCAACCTAGAGGTCCAGCTCTGCCTCCTGCTCCTGGTCCACTGGAACTAGAGGTGTTTCTTCACTCAGACTAGCTACCCGCTGAGGCTGAGAAGCCCCAAGGTTGACAAGTCAAAAGGCACAGTCCTGATGTTACCAAACCACATGGCAGGCCATTAACTTAAGTCCATTATAAGTCCCAAGGTCGGCAGAGCTAGAAGGCTGCTGAGCAACGACATGGCTACATGCAGGATCCAAGCATGCCATAAGCTAGAGACCATTCCCCAAGGCTTCTGTTTAAATACAGGAAGCAGACCACATTCCCTAAGGCAGCTACTCAGCTGCTCACAGTAGAGTCCGCCGTGGAGTTGATTACCAGTTTCATCATGGGGAATACTACATCCAGCTGCCCAGCCACTCAACCAGGCCCAGCCAAGTTGACACACAAACTAAACTACCACACCAAGAAAGATTTGGAAGAAATAAGGGGTCAGCCACTTCCTCAAAGTATTGGCCAGTGAAAACCTTGTGAATAGCAGTGAAATACTGTCTGATGTATTACTGGAAAACTTTATGAATAGGCCTGAAACATTGTCTGATATAGTGCCAGAAGATAAGCTCCAAAGACATTCAAAATACAACTGAGGAAGAGCTGCCTCCTCAAAGTAGAGTCAATCTTGATGTGGATGGAGTAAAGCCTTTGGGACCTCCATTTGCTGATGTGGCATGACTCAAAATGGGAAGAAACAGCTGCAAACATCCATTAGTAATTGTAACACAGAATGTACAAAGTATGAATCTAGGAAAATTGGAAGTTGTCAAAAATGAAATGAAACACATAAAGATCAATATCCTAGACATTAATGAACTGAAATGGACTGGTTTTAGCCAATTTGAATCAGACTACCATATGATCTACAATACGGGGAATGACAAATTGAAGAAGAATAGCATGGCATTCAGGCATTCACATCACAAAAAATGTTTCAAGATCTATCCTAAAGTACAATGCTGCCAGTGATAAGATAATATCCATACACTTACAAGGAAGACTGGGAGCTCTGGTGGCATAGTGCCTAAGGCATTTGGCTGCTAACCAGAAGACTAGCAGTTCAAACCCACCAGCCACTCCTCAGAAAGAAGACTGGGCAATCTACTTCCATAAAGATACCGCCTTGGATACCCAAGGAGGGGTTGCTATGAGTCGGAATCAACTCAACAGCAGAGAGTTTGATTTGGTTTGTTTTTATAAGGAAGACCAGTTAATACTACTATTATTCAAATTTATGTACCAGCCACCAAAGCCAAAGACAAGGAAATTGAAGATTTTACCAACTGTTCTAGTATGAAATTGACCAAACACGCAATGTGGAATGCTAAAGTTGGAAACAAAGAATCACTGGAAGTTGGAAAACACGGCCTTGGTGATAGAAATGACACCAGAGATTGCATGGCAGAATTTTGCAACACCAATGATTTCTTCCCTGCAAACACCTTTTGTCAACAACATAAACAGCAGCTACACACATGGACCTCACCAGATGGAATACACAGGAGTCAAATCGACTACATCTTTGGAAAGAGGAAGTGGGGAATCTCAATCTCTTCAGCCAAAACAAGACCAGGAGCTAACTGTGGAACTGCTTATATGCAAGTTCAAGTTGCATATGTTGAAGCTGAAGACAATTAAAACAAGTCCACAGGAGCCAAACTATAACCTTGATTATATTCACCTAAATTTAGAGACCATCTGAAGAACAGATTTCATGCATTGAACACCAGTGACCGAAAACCAGATGAATTGTGAGATAACATAAAGAACACCATATATAAGAAAGCAAACCAAACCCAAAACCCACTGCTGTTAATTCGATTCCAACTCATAGCAACTCCCATTGGGGTTCCACCAATATGCAGAATGGATTTACACTGCAACATAAAGAAAACAAAAATCCTCACAACTGGACCAATTAGCAGCATCATGATAAATGGAGAAAAGATTGAAGTTGTCAAAGATTTCATATTACTTGGTTCATAATCAACACCAATGGACACAGCAGTCAAGAAATCAGACAATGTATTGCACTGGGCAAATCTGCTGCAAAAGACATCTTTAAAGTGCTGAAGAGCAAAGATGTGTCTTTGAAGACTAAGGTGTTCCTTACCCAAGCCATGGTATTTTTAATCGCCTCATAAGCATGTGAAAGCTGACAATGAATAAGGAAGACCAAAGAAAAGTTGATGCTTTTGTGTTGTGGTGTTGGCAAAGAATACTGAAAGCACCATGAACTGCCAGAAGAACTAACAAATCTGTCCTGGACGAAGTGTAGCCAGAATTCTCCTTGGAAGTGAGAATGGCCAGACTTCATCTTACCAACTTTGGTCATGTTGTCAGAAGGGACCATTCTCTAGAAATAGATATCATGCTTGGTAGAGTGGTGCGTCAGCAAAAAATGGGAAGGCCCTCATAGAGATGGATTGACACAGTGACTACAAAGATGGGCTCAGGTATGGATGCAGGACCAGTGTTTCATTCAGTTGTATATAGGGTCACTATGAGTTGGAGCGAATTGGACGGCACCCAACAACAACATCCCTCCCTTTTTATTTAAGTATAGCATTTCCCCCTCACTCTTCCCCCTGGAAACCCGTTTTCACTCAATTTAGAGCAGCCTGACCAGGCTCCTGGTCCCAGAGCAGCAGTAGGTAAAAAAACGATCTTTTCTTTTTCACAACTCTTCACTTGGCTCAGGTCCCCAGAGCACAACAAAGACCGGCTCATCACCTCCTTCCCACACCTCAGCACTGGGCCTGCCCTGAAAAGGCCTTCCTGGACAGGATAAGATCTTCAAAAGCAATGAGGACATCGAGTTAAAGGCCATGCACATTAACTTACTTATTTTATTGGCTATATTTGCAAGTAAAACACTTTATTACATTAAGGAGACTTAGAAGAAACAACCAAATGGCAGTGGGATGCCTGCGAACTCTGCAAGAGAGACGACCTCACTCCTTCTGGGGGCAACTCGGGAGTTAGGCTGTAGGACAGAAAATGCGCATAGGTCGTGTTTGGCCAGGGGCTTGCTCCGGACATGCTGCAGCATCTCCAGGCCTGCGGGGAGAGAGAGTGCCACAGGCTGGTGAAGTAAGCCCCCTATTGCGCCCCAAGGAAGGCCAGAACCTTTACCGAATGCTGCTGAGCTGGGGAAAGTCACCACCAATCCAGGGCTTGCCAGGTGCCCCATCCACAACTGCCGGCTCTTCCCTGTCCCTCCCCAAATGCAAACAATGAAAATGGATTCGGGCCCCTCCTTCTACCACAACAGGCTCCTGGAGCACCAACACCGAGCTGCCCAGCTACCCTAGAGACTCTTCAGAAGCTAAAATGCCACTCATCTCCTCCAGGACTCCACCACCGAGTCTTCAACCCACAATTCAGCCAGAGACACCTGCCTTGGGCCTGAAGTTTAAAGTCGGAGCTCCCCAGGCACAGGACCATCTCCAGCAGCCAACGCCTTGCCATAATCGGTCCGACTACCATGACGCGCGAACGACCTGAAGCCAAAAACCATTGTTCAAGCTGAATGAGGGTGCAGCTGTGCTCCTCGATGATGCGAAGGTCAGCGTCTGAGGGGCCTGTGAGCACAGGAGGTGGGAGAAGGGACATGCATAAACCCCTAGCACTTCCGGGGGGGGGCGGGATTCAGAGTAGGGGTTTAGGACAGATTAGGTGGGAGAGTCAGGGAAGGTTGGAAGCTGAGAAAGATGGGGGAGGGGAGATACGTAGGCGAGGACCACTCACCGAAGATTCGCTCCTCCAGCTCCTCCTCCATGTAAAGCACCAATGGAGCCAGAAAATTTTCCAGCACTGTCCACCATGGCTTCTCCGTATCCGCCCTCTCCCTGGTGCGAGCTCTTGCTCCCCTGTAGTCCATTGCTTCCACCTAACCCAGAATGGTGTAAATTCAAGCCCTATGCTCAGGGCAACTGGTTAAGAAAGAAATCAGATAAAGTCAAGAGGAGGCCACACCCTATGCTAAATAGTGGTGGCTTCACAGGCCCACCTCTTGGGCCACCCGTGGTTCCTCTCAAGAAAATCCACTCTGAGTAATTGTCTACTCTGAGCATAATCCTTTCTTGCCAACCTGCATTATTGTATCAGTGTTCACCCCCCTGATTGATGCTCATGAAGCCAGAATTTTCTTCACCCTAATTTCAAGGATTTTGTAAGTGATCTAAACTGGGCATGAATCTAGACAGTGATTGAGGGATGGAAGGTGCTGGAGCAGGAAGACTCCAGAACTCCCTCCTTGAAATGGAACAGATACCGCCAGCCAGCCAGCCAATGACTACCCGGAACACATGTGTAGTCAAACAAAGGTAGGTTTATTTTGTGTATTGCAGCAAGAAAGAACAAACAACACAGGAACATAGGGTATCTTTGTAAAAGGGAATTGTAGGGAGCTTCTTATAGGTTTTGGCTGGTTGATTCCAAGGAATGATCAAGGAAGCAGAGGCCAGTTCTCTAAAGGGAGGTAACTTGGTGGTCTATCTTTGCAATTTGGATCTAGAAGGTGGGGAGATTAATGTGGTCTTGCAAACAGCTAGGTCTGTTTCTTTGTTTTTGGAGTTTTGGGGTCACCCTGCCTTCTTGGCCAAAGTAAGATAAAGTCAGCTCAAAGGACATTGGCCTGTGGGATTTACAGCAAGCAGCCACGTCCTTGTTCAGAATCCACTCATCAGAAGGTTACTCTGAGAACATTTTCTGCATCTGCACTACAATTAGTCTCTCATGCCCCTTTTGTTGGAAAAGATTAGGTTTTGAATCATCTGAAAATGGCAATGATTGCATTTAAGACTGGACAGGATACATTGGACTGCAATACAGGTAATTACCAGAAACAAGATAATCATTAGTCCTATTGACAGGTTGCAAAGGCAGCAGCCTAGATTTCAAAACTAGACCATGAAATCATTTCCTATTATGGCATTAGAGCTCCTGGAATGTAGATGAAGAGGGAATGGATGATCTCTCCTGAGAGCTCTGCTAAGTAGTACGTGTTTCATGTCTCTGAGTATCTTTCTCAAAGACACATAATTTCCTGTAAGAGTATGTGTTTAAAATATTGGGGAGTCTCTAGTAGTTATTCCATTTACACAAGCCAGGGTGTGTAAGCATCAGGTGAAAGTCCAATGGCCATGTAAGAAGTCGTACCTTAGTGTCCCACAAAATGTATGGGGAGTATAAGTATCATTTATCACAATGAAAGCAGAACAATTACTGGACCTTTAAGGTGTGAAGACTCCCTGAGATGAGGCTGGAAGTCCCTAAAGATGGCTACTGACTCAGTGCAGCAAGGAGAGCCTCAATATTTCTTTTTACCCCTATGACCTTGCTTCTGCTGACAATTGTTGCAATTTCAACAGAAGTATTTAGTTGCTTGGGGTCAATGTTCAATTTTGACAGGACTGGAGGTCAGGATTAATACTGTGAGGAAAACTCAAATTCTAAACACACATACATACCCACTGCCATTGAGTTGGATCCAACTCATGGTGACCCCTCGTTAGGTTTCTGAGGCAGTATCATTACAGAAGTAGATTGCCCAATCTTCCTTCTGAAGAGTGGCTGATGGGTTTGGTTCAAATTCTAAAAGGTACCTATAACAGGAAATTTGCCTTTCAGAGTATTGAAGGGAACCAAACTAAACCCACTGTCATCAAGTCATTTCCAATTCGTAGCAACCCTATAGGACAGAGTAGAACACCCCATAGAGTTTCCAAGGCTGTAAATCTTTACAGAAGCAGACTGCCCATCTTTCTCCCACAGAACGGATGGTGGGTTCAAACTGCCATACTTTTGGTTAGCAGCTCAATGCTTTACCACAGCGCCACTAGAGTTCCTCTATTGAAGGGAACAGCTATCCAATTTTTGTTAGCTGAATCTGGTGAAGGATGACAGATCTAGTAATCCAATTTAGAACAATAGGTATAGCCTGAGAATAACACACAAGAGAGTTTTGCCTTTCTTGAGGTACCGGAGAAATACCATAGAGGAAAAACAAAACAAAACCCACTGCCATCCAGTGGATTTCGACTCATAGCAACCCTGTAGGACAAAGCAGAACTGCCTCCATAGGGTTTCCAAGGTTGTAAATATTTATAGAAGCAAATTGGCTCATCTTTCTCCTGCGGAGCAGCTGGTGGGTTTGAACCGCCAACCTTTTGTTTAGCAGCCATGCTTTAACCATAGCGACATTGTAGAAGAAGATGAAAGCTGAAGGTATGTGAAAGCCTCTTGAAAACTTTTGGTTCATCACTAGGGGGCACCAAACTACAAATGATAAGTAGTGAAAACTGAAAAAGGGAAGATAGTGCTATCAGGAAAATTCTCCAAAAACCAAAAACTAAACTCACTGCCATCTAGTTGGAGCTGACTCAAAGGGACTCCTCCTTGGGTTTCCGAAGTTGTGCACTCTGGAAGTAGATTGCCCAATCAGGAAAACTAGTCTTGTTTTATTATCATCTTGGACGGAAGCTAGCTATTTCATGTCACCTTTGGCTTAATGTGAAGGTTTTTAGTAGTCTTTCCGCACAGATCATTTGCTTCTGGAGGATAGGTAAGATTAAGATTCCGTGATGAATTCCTTTCCATCAAGCCCCTAGACAGTTTCACCTCTGATTTTTGTAAGTTTCATCAAAATTTCCAGATTCCCAGTCATGCAGCAGCTATTAAGTGGCTCTTTTGGGAGGGTTGCTTACACTTATGGATGATAAGGCAAGATATGTCAGATGAGTCTTTTATGATACTTTTTGTATTTATTTTAAATTTTTATTGTGATTTGGGTGAAAGTTTACAGAGCAAGTTCATTTTCCAAATAGCAGTTCATACATACGTTGTTTCATATTATTGACTGCAATTCCCCACAATGTAACAGCTCTCTTTTCACTTCCTCCCTGTAGTTACCTCTTCCCTGTGTCCTTCACTCCCATGCACTCCCCCACCCACACACACTCCAGCTATCTCCCTGTGCAAACACTGCCCTTCTGTTCTCCCATGATGGATCGTTCCAAGGGGTGTATCTACCTGATGTAAATGTTCACTCCATATATCTGTCTATTGTTTGGCTGGAAACTACGGGAGTGAGTTCAGTTCCAGACCTGAAAGGTAGAAAGGGGCCATAGTCTCAGGTGTCTCACCAGGCCTTTGTGATACTTGAGAAATGGGAGCTCACTGTTGACAGCATATAAATTTAGAGGTGAAACTCCTAGACACATGGATCCCAGGAAGAGTTCATCTCATTGTCATTAAGATTGTTAGCAAGGTTTTAGAGACTTTTCTCAAATTTAGTTTTAATTTTTTTTCTCTACTTCTCTTGAATGTTGATTTGGTACAGTGAAATTTTTTATTGAAAGGTATTTTAGAGTTGATCTTTCATAACAGCTATAGTGAAATGTGTGCCCCATCTCACTGAAGAAATAGGTTGGACTTCTCTAGGTCTAGAAAATTCAAGTCATTTTTTGTTATCATTAGAACCTTAGCTATCCATGAAGAAATATCCTCACTCTATCCTGAAAAGAAGCAAATATCCTCACTCTATCCTGAAAAGAAGCAAATATATAAACATATTTATAAACTATTACTGAGGGCAAATATTTTGGTTAAAACTACTTGTTTGGCGTAGTTGTAAATGAAATTATGTCTTGGGTGGTCTGGATTCTCCACTTATTATTATTATTATGGCTACCTTTCTGTGTAATAGCAAAGCTTCTAAAACTTTTTTAATTTTTTGCCATTTTTAATGAAACTTCCACAAGAAGACAGAAAAACCTTTATATTTCCAAAGCTTTCTGAAATAGACCAAATGGACTGCATACCTACTGTTATATAAATGTTTGTTTCTTTTTACTCTCTTGTTACCTAATAATCTCAAGTGAGAGAGAACTATTTATCCAATTGAACGAATCTAACTTCTGAGAGAAGGTCATATTCTAATGGTGAATTTAGATCTGTGATGGAAAATATTTGAAAAATTCCACCTTATAATTTTAAGTATGAACCATTACAAGCAACATTAAATATTCTTAACAAAAATAATTTTCAAAATATTTATATAAAGCATGGGTAGTTCCCTAATTAAAACACACAAATAACAACAACAACAAAACATTGTCATCAAATGGCTTCCATATACAGCATAGAACTGCTCCATAGTGTTTTCTTGGTTGTAATCTTCACAGGAACAGATCACCAGGCCTTTATTCCATGGAACCAATGGGTGGGTTCAAACTGCCGACTTTTAGGTTAGTAGACAAGCTCAAACCATTTCTGCCACCAGGGCTGTCCAGTTCCCTATCAAAGCTCAAATAATCATGCAACTATCCCTCCTCAAGTAAGGCAGGAGATTTTCAGTGAAAGTTAATGAGAGCATTAACAAATACCCAGAGATTTTAATTGTATCTATGGTGTAGTAAATTACACAGTGTGGCTTTTCTAGCCATAAGTCTTTGTGAACTTCATGATGAAATTGGCCATGAGCAACCAAGTAGCTCCTGATTGTTAGTTATCCACCTGGGGTATTTCTGTTGGGAGCAGCACAAAGTAATTTTCTGGGAAGTTTGCTCTCTCTCAGGTGTATGGAATTCTGTTATTGGGATTGGTTTGTTTGGCCACTCTGCCAGGCTCAAAAGTAGACCTCCTAGAGGCAGAAGAAGTCTCTCTGACTGCTGGCTGAGAAAGACCTACTGCTGAGAGAAACATGCTACTGAAAGACATGCGCTGCTGAGAGAGAAACACCAAGAGACACACATTGCTGAGAGAGAGACATGCACTGCTGGGAGAGAGACTGAGAGAGACTGTTGGCTGAGAGACAGCAGGCTGAGAGAGACTGAGCATTGTTCCTGAACTTGAATTGCTGATGCTTCCCTAATAAAC